AAAAAAAGGGCAGAATTATTTATTTAATTATTTAAAAGATAAGGAAGCGGGCTCCTTTAAGCATTAAAAGCTTCAGCAGTCCTACACAGCGCCCACACCAAAACATGACTGACTGGAAACACCACTGATAAAAGTACCATAATCAGCCATATTTAAATTCCCCCCGACGCAACCCCCAGCACAGAGCGGAAACACAACCTGAAACCTGTGATTCGGGACCAGCTAAGAGGTGACGCTTCTTCCAGATCTGTGGTTAAAATGTGCCACAGTGGTCTGATCACACACACATAAAACCACACCCCCCACACTGCCGAATGCACAGATAAGATGGCGGGATTCGCTGCCCCAAGAATGACTGAGTCCTTTTATGGACGGAGAGATGTAACAGTGCTTGCATTGATTTAATACCATAAATCAGTTTATTTACTGTTCTGCTCCACGCTGGTGATGTCATTGGCCCCTCCTACCAGCCGTTTAATGAAAACAAGACTATCTTCTGTGTTCCTCTCCCAAACAGCACTTTTTCACATTAAGATGGGTTATAAAAGTGGCGAGTCTGTTTTTCTGCAGGGAAGCAGCTCAGTCATGGTTAGTCAGAAAAGGAGACTTTGATAATAACATCCATCAGTCAGGTCAGAGTCCGGTCTCGAGGATGACACCGTCACATCAATATGGTATCGGGTATGTTATCAGCTATATTTTTTGATTACTATTTTGCAAATAATGAAGTAACTGCCTTCAAAGACGTTCAATGTGTTAAAATAACTCTGTAAAAAATGTGTAATAATAAGGTGCAAAAAATAACCGTCTGCCCCTTAGGACCGCGTGTGGCAGTCTGTCAAACTCCACTGCACACCCCCCGGCAGGCGGCTCGCGGCGCTGTGCTGAGAAAACTGGGACTGTCATTATGCGGGGAAGTAAACAACCTTTTTAAACATTCTAACCTCGGAAAAAAGACGCAGTACAAAACCATTTCCTATAAATCCGTATAACTGACTCTCCCTGAAGTTTGCCACGACGGCGAATATAACACTAACGGAATACAAGCGGCACAATATATCAGGCTTGGCCTTAATGGGATTTCAGACACTAAGATGATTGAGGGGGGCGACTGGCAGACAGCATCATGATTATTACTAACGTGCTCCTCCGGTGTCTCTTCACACAGCCCATCTGACAGCGTTCAGGCGCTCAGGGTAGTTCATCTATAACAGCACAACATAAATCTGTTTGGAAACACCGACGACCCCAGGCGGGATAGGGACGCAATTTTACAGCGCAAGCATCTATAAATCTGCACCGATGATGTTCCCGGAGATCCGTCTGGCCGACAGACAATCTACCGCGATCACGGCAGTGATACCACAGCCAGGACGTTTGATCCAATTAGCGATTAACTTAATTACCAAAGACACCGGAGGACTGCGGAAGCACCAAGACTTTAACGCGGTAAAGAGGGCACGATATGAGGAAAGAGCTAGAGCTTATTAGGGGACTTCCCTGATGAAAATAATGGGAACTGTCAACGCACCTGTGACAAACTTCCATCTTTAAAGAGAACTGCAAATTAAACGAAATTTCTTCACACCATTTACGAAAAAATAAACAATATATTATAAGGGATAGACTGACGTTAAAAGGGTTGTTACTTTGTTGTCCCATGCCGAAAAAGGCAGCATCTAAATTCAGACTGAGCGCAACTATAAGTCACGTCGCAGGCAGCTCTGTACGATCTGTTAATATCGGCTATGCAAACTAAAATATATTAGCAAAAATGGGATAACGTCTCCTCCGCTCTTCTTAATCACTTACCCCGAAATGAGACCGCGGTCCCGGAACAATGCGCTGTTGTGCAGGAATGGGTGCCGTCAATTACGCAGCTGTATTTTCTCGCTCAGGCAATTCCTCCAGCATCGCAATTTTCTCTTTTTCCACAGTAGTTGCACCTTCGCAGCACTCGCAATTCACAAAACATGTAACGTCGGTTTTAAAGCATATTTCAAAAAACAGGATCGTGGTAAAAGAAGCAGGAAAAGCAGATTCGTACAGTTAGTGTAAACAACACTCCGTCGTTAAATCGCCATCCCCCCCCATCCCGATGCTGGTGAGAGCCAGTATGAAAGTGTGCCGTCGCATCAGAGGGAGGCTCCACTCCGGTGTCCGCGGGGCCGCGCGCGCAGGCGTGCTCCGAGCGGCTCGCGGTGTGCGCGGGCACGTCAGCCGCCGCGCGCGTCGCGCCGCCGCCTGCGTAACGAAAATCTTCGCTTCAAATGATTTTTGTGGTTGTGGTTACTCGTTTTTATTCACTTTGTAACCCATTAAATACAAACCTATACGAAATGTCATTCGGCCACAAAATAACTTGGACTTAACCCTGGGCATTTGGCCGCAGGCTTTTTTTAAATTAGTATTACCCATTATACGTACTCCCTATATCAGGCCATCGCATTCGTCTTCTAACCTCTAATCCAGTACAAGGTCACGTGGGGTGATAAAGGTATTAGTAGTGGAAACGTACACCATAGCACATTTAAGTGCGCTTTCAAGAAATATTATAACACAGTGTAGTTGTATAACAAAACATTTTTAAAGTAGGTGTTAGATTGGTGTATAAGCCTGCAGAATCTGTCGGTGGTTTCACCACTATATCTGTGGTAGAGCCGTTTAATTCATGAGAACCGCCCTGAGACTGGGTTGGGACGGCTCAACAGAAATAAGAAGTCCGATGCAGTGTGCATCATCTGTAGGGGAAGCAACATGAAGGAGAGGCTGTTCATCCTCCCTCCCTTCCCACAGATATGACTGAATACCACACAGGCACAAAGGAATGGCACTGATTAGAAATGGCAATCTCTGTGCTAAAGCACAGGCATATCCCCCCGGCACAATGGGGTGCACAGAGCAGCCACACCATAGACAGTGGTAACTGGGAGGGGGAACATACCAGCAGCCCACTCTAAATTACCAACAAAGGCGTTGTGCAGTGGGAGGGGCAGCGTCCCGGCGCTCCTGGTGATGTGGCGATGACACATCCCCTCTGCCCCTCAGGCACGAAGCTGTACTTGGCAGCCGTACTTTGGGACGGCCGCAGCCATTACAGGGAGCTTCTGAGAGTCTGCTGAAGTCATTGTCTATGCCTTATAAGAGCGCGCTCCTGAATGGCCACGCACAGCCCTCGTTACAGTGCCAGCTCCTGTTTCAAAGCCAGATATTTCATAAATAACCTATTAAATTCAGTGCCTGTGTCAGGTCCCCCCTCAGCCCTGATAACAGCATCTCTCCTCGTGGTATCTCTCATTTCTCAGCCAGCCTGGGGTCTGTACTGCAGGACTGTCTCAGTGGGAGGGGGGGTCACTGGCCTGAGGTGGGGGCCGTGTGCCGTGCGAGGGCCCAGGAGACCCATCCTATCATTGCCGGATGGCCTATGGCTGGGATAAGCCCCCCACTGCACGGCTGTGATCCCACTTAATAAACCTTAATGAGCCGTGAGCCTTTCACTTGGCTAATGCTGCTCTGCTCTTTAAAGCCCGACTGTCCGCTGTAAACATGCATGTCTTTTACACAGCAGGGTTGCCAACTTTGGTCAGCTGGCTGGAGTGAGATTTTCAATTTGAGACAAATCTGCACACAGACGCACACGCATTTACACGTATGTATTACCTTGCAAACTACCCCAAAGCTTTTGATGTAGCTAATTTTAGGTTCATAATGGAATAATGTAAGTTTGCCGTAAGATTTCGTGCGTGAGAGTCAGAAAGCCCTGCATGCACACATTCATGTGCACATATTTATGTCTGTAAATCTGAGAAAACACCCGAAATTATAAAACCAAAGTGCATTTCATGGCTTCTGAAATCAGAAGACAATCTCCCATCAGGCTGTGTGCTCGTCTTTTGTTTACATGCACACTCACCTGCTCCCTGACGTACAGCGGCATTCAGCGCCTGCATCGCGGTGGCTGCATCCGACAGCTTAGGTGGCACTGAAGGTAAGACGCCACCTTCCTGTGGCATGAGGGGCCACCGCCAGCCACCATTTCCTGCTCTGCTATTTAAAAAAGTGAAGAGAATTTCATATCCTGAATTCATGCATTTTTTTGTATCTTATATGCAAGAACAGCTCATAAACCGAGAGTGAGAATATCCGAATTATGAAATCGAAGCCAGAGAGTACTAGTTAACCCTGTAAAGCCTGCATTATTAAATAATTGCCAGAAAATTCTAATTTTCAGAGACTGAACTGTTTTCTGGATACTTTTAACAAAACAAACAAATTGAAACATGACCTGGATATCCCAATTTTTTTGTATCATATTTGACACGTTGGGTATTTCTGGACATGTACAGATCATATTTTGTCAACCAAAAAGATACATTTGTGTGCCTTTAGAAAACACTTGGCATACTTAAACATGTTTTACAGCATTTGACAACTTTTACGAGTATTTTGCAACATTTTTGGGCTTTCTTTCTGTCTTCCTGGGCAGTGCTTGTATCTCTGTCTTGTTTCCTATGTTAGTAAATGGTCAGTGGCCATCCTTTCTCTCATCTAGAGGCATGGCAGTGGTTCATCTTTTGCATGGGGTGATTTCTTTGTGTTTCTACTCATTTTATATTTATGCACTAAAGCCAAAAATAGCTTTTTCAGGACAGAACGTCTTGGGCGCCATTAAAAATACCGGTTACCCCTATAAAGCTTGGTTATTTTTTGCCACTGTCAAAGCTGTACGTCACCCCCATAGAAAATACACTGATGATGGGGTGAATCGGCCATAGCAGAAATCCACCTGACCTCAGAATAACCCCCCCAAGTAAACATGGGACCTTGTTTACCGAAATGGGTGGTTGATGAGAGTGGGTTTGCACCAGCGTTCCCCGTGACGAGCAGCTTTCTCCTGATGCACACGAACAAACAAATTCTCCTAATGAAGTCATCCCCGGAGGTCAGCCGCTGTTTGTATAATCTAATGCTAGCCTGTGGGGTGGGGGGGGGGGCGGGGCATGGGACACAGTGACAAACACAGTAAATAACCAGCATGAACTCCTTTGTCATTAACATGCACTTCCTATTTGCGAATGCAAATCTCTTGTATCACTGATAGGCTGGAATTTTTTTATTTATTTTTTTGGGGGGGGGGTATTATTTACAGTGTATATACAGGGCCCAGGGGTGGAGAAATCAATGGAAAAAGGACAAAATCACAATTACAAACACATCCTAAAAGGTGAGTAATTTCAGTCTGAATGGCAAATAGCACATCAGCTGCAAAGTAGGCCGGAGAATCAGCCGCTCACGACGTCACTTTTCAAAGCAATATGAGGCAATTAGGCCACACGGTCCCTGCCTGAACTGTGGGAGCGCTACGCACTTAAACTGCAGAGCCGGTTAATTTGTGAAGAAAAACCGTCTGAAACTGCAGGTCGCAAGAGAAACTGCAGCTCCCAAGAGAAACTGTAGGTCGCAAGAGAAACTTCAGGTCAAAAGAGAAACTGCAGGTCACAAGCTGCATGCAGCTACATTATGATGGCTGCCATTCGGAGAGGCCAAGGCGTAAAAATGCAACCCGGCGACAGGGGCAATAACCCTGAGCAATGGGGAAAAAGTCACGTGGTCCGATGAGTAGCCATCCATTACATCCTTTATTCCTTTTCCTGCATCCAGATGGACAAAGTCAACCGTTAAACGTGTTGGGTCATGTCAGCTGAGCCAGTAAGTCCTGATGTTTGCTCTGCAGAAATATGAAGATGCTCATCGTGTGTGTGTGTGTGGGGGGTTATGTATATATTACATCGTAGGGACTAAATGTCCCCACAATGTGATAAAAACCTGTTACTTTGACCTTGTGGGGGGGGTTATAAAAAATTTGATAAAACTCTGTGGCTGCAATCAAAAAACTACAAATGCCAAAAGTCTTTTATTAATCTTTTTGGTTACTTGTGGTAAAGGTTAGGGCTGGGTAGGGATTAAGATTTTGGGATTAGGGTTAGGCGCAAAGAAATGTCAGTCCCCACAATGATATGGATACAAATGTGTGTGTTTGTATACATAGCATTATGGTTGCGTGTTGCCAGTGTGAATGCTTAGTGTTACAGTGTGATATATCCGTGAAAACCATCAGTGCTGTCATCACACACACTTCTACATATTTTTATAATAAAATGGGAAAAGTCTTTAGCACTGAAGTCGCCTGGAATTTGGGCTCTGAGGGGGGGAATGTGAGAGTCGGTGCGCCTCAAGTGGGCAGCGCCGTGCGGGTCCAAAATGAGGTCAGCCCCCCTGCCTCTGTAGCGGGATGGCGGATCAGTGTGACCTGGATTGATCCCGGGCCCTTGAGCTGCAGGCCGCTGACGCCGGCTGGGCGGGGCTTCGCACGAACGCCTCTCCGCTCGGTCTTCGCTCGGCCTGCTTGGCCCATGGCCTCTCACCACGGACGTGTCTTCAGTTTGCATGGATGTTATTTTGGAAAAGCCAGCCAGACACCCCCCCCCCCGCCCCCCTCCCAAATGCTGCATGGCGCTGCCTGATTAGATAAAAAGGGAATCTGGGAAGGAAATCAAATGCGAGTGGTGATCCTATGCGGCTAATGTACGCCTCGTACGGAAATACGTCTCAAATTATTCCCCCCCAGGATCGCAGGATGGGGGCACCAACTATCTAATTATCATGGTCAGAGAAAAATGTCAGAACAGGCTAGGCCACTTTTGGTTTATCTATACTATATAACTAAAAATAATTATGTGATAATAATGTGACTATTGGATGTACAATAATATATTACGGCGACTCAAAAATCTGTTTTAGGCCTGAGAGAATGTAAGGACAGCAGAGGGCTGACTGCAGAAATGCTGGAAGAATCGGTCGCTTCTGCTTTGAGAAAGAGAAAAGGTGAAAAAGCAGGGGGGGGGAAAATGAATCCGCTGTTTTCTCTACAGTAGCACACGCTGTTCTTCGACTGTGAAATGTTAATGTTCTGACGTGATTCGAGAGATTCTGTGAAAAAGACACACACGCACCAACATGACGATGTCACCACGTCAGGTTGTGCACAGAGATAGACCAGAGCGGCTGGAGTTTTCCATCCTGGCCTCCGGCCAACCAGCAAAGCCTCCAGAGCTCGACGGAGCACACCCTGAATCGGCCGTTTTATTAAAGGTTAACGTGCACCTGCATTT